GGGGAGGGACAAGGAGAGGCGACCACGGTGAGTGCGCGGGGGGAAGGGTGGGGGAGGGGCGAGGGAGGGGCAGGGGGAGGGGGAGGGGGAAGGTGGGGGAGGCAACCACGGTGAGCATGGGGGGAGCGGCGCCGGGAGGAGAGGTGGGAGGAGGTGGGGATAGTCGGTAGGAGACAGAGAGCGGTAAAAGGATGTGAGTGGGAAAACGACCTGTAAGTGTAACAAACAATCATATTTTAATATATATTATATTATCACTAACTTGTGTAATACATGTGTCAATGCATGTGGAATACAATGTAGCATAACACATAAATGCACATGTTCATGGTATTACCTCTAGTATGGTCTGCTCTGTATGTTGTACTCAGTACATTTCTTGCATCTGTCTTGTAGGTAAAAGCACTGCTGCACGACTTCTACGAGACAATGTTGCCTCTGCAGTGTCAGTTCGAGCTGCCGCTTGATTACCGAAACAGGTTTCTACACATGGCCGAGCTCAGGTCGTGGTGAGTTCTTAATTATTCCTCCCAACAGGTGGCGCCAAGTTATCGTTTACCAGCAGTGTGGCGCGTGTGCCAAATTGATTTCTGGTCAGTGTTCTTTTACCTCAACTCGACTTAGCCCATAAGTCCCCATGATTTAAATATAATATTATTTATTTGTCGATTATATGTCTCAAACTATAGATTATTTTCATAGTATAGCTGTAAGGTGTTGTAGCAACCTCGCATGGAAGTACTCTTTTTATGAATCAAATTTCACCTTGTCTATAGTTTGATCCTAATTTTAAATGACGAACGGAATCTAAAGCAGGCAATAGACATCACATGGGTAGGCTGCCATTATAAAATCTCGAGAACGCGTACTAGAAACCACCGAGTAACGTGGACGAAGTATGCACGCGATCTAGCGGCGGGCGCCCTGTGTCTTTATACGTGTTGTCGGTTTTTTTTAGGCGGATTTACAGAGACATCCTGAAGGCAATCACCTACCTCTGCTTGTTCCTCCTTGTCTGCTTCTCTGCGGCTTCCTTCTGCTCCCAGCAGGTATGTGTGAACACGACAATAAAAAGTAAAGTTGCCATAACTGCCACGTGAAATGACGCTGTGTAGAGTGGCTCCGTCGCACCGTGCCTTTACACTTTTAATTCCGATCTGGATCCGGATCCAGAATCGGCAAACTCCTATTAATTCCAATGTGGATCCGGATCCATGAATTACAAACTCCTATTAATTCCGATCTGGATCCGGATCCATGAATTTCAAACTCCTATTAATTCTGATCTGGATCCGAATCCATAATCGGCAGACTCCCGTTAATTCCGATCTGGATCTGGATCCATAAATTGCAAACTCTTATTAATTCCGATCTGGATCCAGATCCATGAATTTCAAACTCCTATTACTTTCGATCTGGATCCGGATCCAGAATCCTCGAACGGCCGTCTCCGCTTCTGAGGTCCTGTCGATGACGTCGTGTGTGTGCGCGCGTTTCAGATTTCCGCCGTGAGCAGGCGCGTCTGGCGGACGAGGAGGGAATCGGGAAGCCCCGGCGACGGCAGCAGAATGAACGTATGACCAACGCTGTCCTCCGGAAAGATCGCCTGATGGGTCCGTCCGGCGACGGCAGCAGCAGACGAGAAGCGATCGTGCCAACTCGTCAAACTTCCGTGGTCTATGACGCGAGCAGGAGAGCAACACGAACAGAGAATAGGGGGGGGGGGTGTCCACGAACGGATGGGGTGGGGTGTGTGAAGTAAGAGATGGTAAAATTAAGCGCTGAAGACGTGCGCAAGTCACAGAGAGACGGGCGAAGACCGTTGCCATGACAACCTGTGTAAATACTCCCTACGCGGCGACGAGACGACAGGCCGACGGTTGTCGGGCAGACGACTATCAGACAAGTGAACGCTAAAACAAGGACACTTGTAAAACGCTAAAATAAGGGTAAAGATTGCAGCTCTCTTGGCAACATTCCAATTCCGTATGCAATGTGGGTGGCATCGCAATCATTTTAGGTTTCGCACGACTACACCATGAGGAGTGTGTGTGCTACCACTTTGAATGAAGCAAGCTTATGATTGATGGGACATTGGTCATTGACAGGGATATATTTTTTTTAAGACATTGATGTCACACCCATCGTTTAAGTTTATAATTGCTTTGGCATTGATTCACGAAGTTTAAAATCTAGTTTTGATAATTTTTTAAGTTGTTTATTTTAATTAGCGGTGGGTGAATATGAACCCGGTTGTGTCTGAATATTTGATCTGTTGAGAGCAGTGTGCTATTGTTCGTTCACGTCCAGTACACAGTTCTCTCGTAATCTGGTTTTCGCTGGCAAGAAAAACGAGGACCAGTTTGCATCTCTCATCGATTATCGTTCACTTCCAAGTATTGATGTGTTGTTGAGAGATTTGGATGCCATTGGCATTTTGCGAGGATGCAGCCAGTATTATTGCCATTACACATGGCCGCTCGTACGAATGCTCGGATGCAGCGGGTTATCTATGCAAATCTGTAATGCCATTCTTTCGTTATTTTGTGTGGAGTCTTACGTTGTGTATGCGCTCTAGCCTGTATGTGTCGAAAACAATCGAGTAATCTGTAAATATTGCAGCTATTTCTATACTAGGTTGCGGGGACTACGGTCATGTGTGTGTCTGAATTATTGGATCGGGAAGCTTGTAAATCAACCTGCTTGTTACTACAGTCTGCATTGATCATCATTTTGAGTGCACGGAACCGTACGCGACTCACGACGTGCGATCGAGACAACATAGTCTGTGTCTAGTTTTCTCTATCTATTAGATTCTCTCCTAATATCATTACTACTATATACTGATATCATACTGACTGTACATAATCATGATTACTGGATTTTATACGATTACAGTAAACTGTCAAAAGTTGGCGACTCTGTACGAAAGATGAGCGAATTTTTGTTTTCCCAGACTGGCTTACTTACACCCTGCCGTTAGTACGTGTGATTGTGAACGAAGCACCGACGAATGCGATGTGTACAATACAATGCAAGTCTGTACAATACAATGCAAGTCTGTACAATACAATGCAAGTCTGTACAATACAATGCGAGTCTGTACAATACAATGCGAGTCCGTGCGATCATGTAACATCGCGTTTATTATTCCTCTGCGACACTTTTCCAAGCCAACGATTCCATGCCCTTGTGCGCAGCAGAGCAGCGCGCGCGTCTGGTGCTCTGCACTCACACATCCAATGGAATTACATCTTAACAGCGATTGCGTTGCAACGTTGAAATGAATAAAACAAAAATGTATCACAGTAAATTCAGTGGAAGGCCGTGACAGGCCCGTATGACGATGGGAGCATCACACGACGCGGCGATTCGTTCCGGTTAGAATCGCCCCGTAGCGATCGACAAACCACCAACCTTTCATGATATCACGTGACCAGCACGCGTGGTCGTGACTATGCCTCCCTGCATGATATATACTCATATATATGTTGGATAATGTTAGAATGAATGTGGAGGTGGTGGGGGGACACACAGCATCGGATTACACACTACACGGTCCGTTGTCAATACAAGATAACGCGCGACGACTAGAAATGCAGAACTGCTTAGAACTAAGCTAGGATAGAACTAGCATAGAGCGAGGATAGAACTAGCATAGATCTAGCATAGAGCGAGGATAGAACTAAGCTAGGAGAGTAGGAAGTTATCTGTCCTTAAGTTAAGTCAAGTTAAGTTAACACGTAAGCAATATAGCGCGCACGAACCACGAGCAGGATTTTAGTAGTACTGATTTCGGGATATTCGTAACGATTCACACATTCAGTTGTCAAGCAAAAACATACTCGCAGTTAAAAAAATAGTATATTCACTAATCAGGAATGATTGACCTGCGTTAGGCACGCTCCGACGTTCGGTTAGACCATAATACTGACGTACGCATAAAGCGATCGATTGCATGCTGACACCCACACAGCATGCGATATATAGAAACAAATATATTTGTAACCTGGTACAGTGGTAGTATGGTTTCTCAAGCAATCTAAAGACCTCGAATCTTTGGATTACTTGGGGAAATCACAGCGCTACGCTACGAATATAATCTACTATTTACCCATAGCATGGAATGTTATTCTGACACCGAAGGCACAAAATTTAACAGGATGTTCATTACATCGTGCAGATTAATTGTAAGAAGGTCATATCCGGTGGAACATCTTCGGTCAGTGAGTATAAGAACCCTGCCATTTCTCTTGAGACTCTTATCCGCTTGCCACTAAGCAATACTTGCTGCAATACAGTGCAGAGTAGAGCAGAAGCGCATACATCTATATACATAAAATATACAAAAAATCCAAGTAACATTTCCCACGATTGTTAGTTTTTTTTGACTGCGGGGAACACTTCCATCACAAAACACTGGAAGAAAACACTCGCGAGTCACAGGAGGGAAGACGCACACTCGCGTCTCACGCTCTCTCCATGCCCGCCGCGTCTCACACGCTCAGCTCTACCGCGTCTCACACGCTCTCCATGCCCGCCGCGTCTCACACGCTCTCCCTGCCCGCCGCGTCTCACACGCTCTCCATGCCCGCCGCGTCTCACACGCTCTCCCTGCCCGCCGCGTCTCACACGCTCAGCTCTACCGCGTCTCACATGCTCTCCATGCCCGCCGCGTCTCACATGCTCTCCATGCCCGCCGCGTCTCACATGCTCAGCTCTACCGCGTCTCACACGCTCTCCCTGCCCGCCGCGTCTCACACGCTCAGCTCTACCGCGTCTCACACGCTCTCCCTGCCCGCCGCGTCTCACAC